TTTATGTATTACTAAACAGTTTTTCGTGGGTACTCTCCGCAGCTATTGAAAAATCTGCTTAGAAAACAAATGCTATAAATATACTGGGAGACAAGATACAATTTGTGTTGTTTTGTTTAGGTTCTTTAAGACAGGGATTCATGTAGGTCAGACTGGCCTCAAACCAGCTAAATAACTCAGAAGGACCTTGAACTCCTCTGATCCCCCTGTCTCTACTTCCCAGGTATTGGAATTACAAGCCTGTGCCATGACACCCAGCTATTGCCCAATTGGATGCTAGACTGAGCACATAACAACCCTAGTGCTCCAAGTTGTCAGAAAGCATATCCTCAACATGAAACAGTCCAGAATGAGAGGCGAATATGCCAAGTGACTTAAGGAGCGACTTTTTCAATCACTCCACTCTAAATGCTTAGTGGGAACTGTTAAATGGCTTAGTGGGTAAAGGTGCTCCAGCAAGCCTGACAACCCAAATTCAATCCCTGGAACCCTCCTGGTAGAAGTAGAGAACCAACTACACTGATTAGTTCCTCAAGTATGTGTGACTATAGCTCATAACCCCTTTGAACAATGACAGTACTCTGACAACCCAGACCCACCACTCACTGGGGTCTAGTCTATCCACTGTTTACTTTGTGGTTTTAAATAAACTATAACCCTTGGGGAATTCTGCAAGCTGGTAGTCTATCAGATTTCTCCTTTTCTTTTCTTTTTTTTTTGGGGGGGGTCTATGTACCCCAAGCTGGCCTCAGACTTAGAATGTTAACTAAAGAAGACCATGCACCCTCTGCATGTGGGATCACAGGTTTGTGCTACGAAGCCTGTGGTGTGGTGCTAGGGACTGAACCCGGGACTTTCGGTGTGCTAAGCCTCATCCCCTTTCAAGTAACATTTAACTGACTGAATGGTGTTTTGGTCCATAGCTCTCAAGAGACAATGGCTAAGTAACATATACTATTATAGTATTGTGCAGATATGGGCAGCTGTTAGGTGACACTTGGTAAATGGATACACTCGGGAAGACGGAAGCTTCCTGCTACTGTTTTACAAATGAACAAGTGACGCTGTGACCATGGACATGCTGTTGTCTCATGTCCAAGAAACATCTGGTCTTTCCACTTTCCACAGCATTTGTGAGAAACACAAGTTTGGCAGGACAGTCTTTGTTATGTGAAAGTCCTCTGCACAGTGCAAGGAATCTTAATTCCGTAAAGTTAGATGAAAAATTAACAATATCTCAATGTGTTCCAGGACATCATTTTAATATACAGAAATATAGAGAATGAGATTAATAGTATGGCAAAAGTTTAAAAACAAAACTACAGAGAGAAAAATTTGTTCTTGTCTTCCATCCCCAAGAGTAACCATAGTCACTGACAAGCAAGACCCTGTACGGGATCCCACAAAGCTTCCCTGCACTAGAGCCAGGTTTGGGGTCACCTGCACACTCTGGCAGAAGCAAACAATAAGCCCACACAGCTGCAGAAAAGGCTCAGAAGCAGAAACAAGTAAATCAATGCTGTGGGTTTGCATTGTTTTCTGTATGAATGAGTACTGGTGCTAACAAAGAACCTCCACAGAGAAAACTGTAAATGATCTCAGCACATAAGAGAACTGGGTGACAGTAATTCAAGCAGTCTACAGGATGGGGAAAGGCCAAGGCATTAAAACTAGGAATCACAGCATACTTAGAAAACTTAAATTTCCAAATCCATGGTAGTTTAGTGTATGCACCAATAGTCACATTTTAGACTGACTGATATCCTATTATTTGAGAAGTACTTATGAACAAGACAAATCATTTCCCATACCCACTATTTACTATTGCTTCCAAACTGCATGACACCATAAAAGAAGACAAAATTTCTGGGGTTTTCCTCCTTAAACCTTTCTGATCAGGTAGCTCTAATTTTCATCAAGTTAGGAATCCAGGTGGCTGTGCACCTCTCAAAGTGAAAGCAGATGAGTAGTCAGTGAGCATGATCCCACAAGTGAGATCCATGAACTCAGCACACGAAGGGAAAGAGCCTTCAAACCTGATGTGTGAAGTGACAGCTTAGTGTACAAAGAGCAAAGGCTAAAATATTGTGAAGTGAGCAAATGTGGCTCACTTGATTTTGTGGTTTATTTGTGTATACGAGGTAATCCAGGTGGCTGTGCACCTCTCAAAGTGAAAGCAGATGAGTAGTCAGTGAGCATGATCCCACAAGTGAGATCCATGAACTCAGCACACGAAGGGAAAGAGCCTTCAAACCTGATGTGTGAAGTGACAGCTTAGTGTACAAAGAGCAAAGGCTAGGGGGGGGGGTGGGGGGGGGGGGGGGGGGGGGGGGGGGGGGGGGGGAGGTGAGCCTGTAGAGGCCAGAGGCTGACACAAGGTATCTTCCTCAATACATTTCCACCTTATTTTTCAGACAGGGTTTCCCCTGAACATGGGCCTTGTCATTTCAGCTAGGCTGACCACCTGGCCAGACAACCCCAGGAATCCATCTGCACCTCCCCATGCAGTGCTGGGGTCAGAGATGACGGTGGTGGGGATCCAAACTCCACTGAGCCATCTCTCCAGCTGCCCACCTTTTGATCATTTTTATAACTGGCCAAAAGTTGACTTTAAAAACATTCAATGATGAGCAATCATGTCATTTCTCTTCTTCCCTTTTCACACCTAGTATAAAGCCTCTTAACTTGGGTAGCAAAAGTAGATAAGCTAGATAAAACTGTGATATCAGAGTTAGAGGTCACAGGTCCTGGGACATGTTGTTAGTGTTTTACACTGTAACATGGCAGAAGTAGCCAATGCTCTTTTGTTTTGTTTTTCAAACAAAAAACAGGGTTTCTCTGTGTAGCCCTGGCCGTCCTGGAACTTATTCTGTAGACCAGGCTGGCCTCAAAATCAGAAATCCGCTTGCCTGTGCCACAGAGTGCTAGGATTAAAGGCATGCACAACCACCACCTAGCAAGAATGGCAAATTCCACTGATATCATTGAAGGTGCTAGCAGATCCCTAATGATACAGTCCTCCCACCTTCCCTCTCTGGAGCAAAGTACTTATACTTAGTATGTGCAGAATGGCTGCATAAGACCACCAAGATCTACCTCACTGGGGCTGCATGAGGCTGCTGGGGAGGGACCTTTTTAACATCTCTGGGGAGACATTTTTCCACTTGTAATACAGATGTCCCTAACAGCCTATGGAGGTGTTTCAATTCCTATTCAGAAACCTCTAAAAGAGAAGATAAATGGACAGGAAGCCCAATCACCCTTCTCAAGAGGACTGTGTCTTCGTCATGAAATTATTAACATGTGTAATGTGATCAAGAACATGCTCCATCTTGAAGGTTCCACACAGAACAGAGCGTGCATGTTTAGAAATACAGAGGCTTGCAGTAGAAGACTGCAAAGGACTATGGTTTCATTCAGCAGGGTGACTTCTTTCCAGAACCGCTAAGGTCCCCTCTGGCAGTGACTTTTATGAAAGGGTTTATAAAAGTGAGCACTCTCACTTTCAAGCCAAAGCCATGAGAGCAGCCATCTACTCTGAATCCACACTGCTTTAACAGGGGCAGGGAGAGGACTGCTTCTAAGAACTGCATGTCATGTTGTTCCCCATTCTTTGCCATTTACTGAAACTGAACCTTCAGCCACGCTGCAAGGGATCTGCCAACATGGATGGCTACTAGACTGAGAGCCCTCTTTGTGCCCAAGGACCCAACTTGTATACGATACAAATGTGGAAGGGAACCCATCCAAGATTCTGAATGAGTGGGTCTCAAGTATGCACCATTATGGACACAAAATGCCTCATTGTGTTAGTCTGCTAGAGGTATCCTGTGTTACATTTTGAGAAACACTTGAAGCCACAGAGCTATTTCTCTTTCAAACATATTGACACCACAAATGTGAAGGGAAAAAAGCATACACAGCTAATGAAGCCACAGCAAACCCAAGTGCTCTGAGAAGTTAGTCAACCCCTAGAAGAAAACTGTTAACATGAGCCTGGATCCATAAGCATAGCTCAGTATGGTAGCTGTGAATGAAAACCAACCACACAGCAGTGCATCCCTCCAGAGAAGAACTCCAAAGCCATGGTGGGAGGTGCTGGGGGTGGGGGCTGGTTAAGAGCACTTGCTGCTCTTATAGGAACCAGGTTCAGTTCCCAGCACCTGTAACAGTTTGTCACTCTGATTCTAGGGTACCTATTACCTTCTTTTGGCCTCCAAGGTAGCAGGCACATACACAGTGTACATACATACATGCAAGAAAAACACTCATACACATAAAATAAAAATAAACAAATCATTAAAAATATTGTCTGGTATTTGATCTAAGGAAAAAATATGGTTTTTTATAAATTTGGTGAAGCATTCTGAACAGGAAAATAATTTGAGCATTGTCTAGTAGATCCTAGGATATGAAGTTCTAATTCCTAAATTCACACTGGAAGGAATAAAGGATGGAAGGATATCTATTTCCCACTCATCTCTGGACCTCACTAGAAAAAGGAAAACTTTAAAGTAATAAAAATACATTAACAGATGTCTATTTTTTCATATCTATTTGAAATTCATATTAATGTCCTCCTAAAACCTTTAATGACACACAAAACTCTAACCCAAGTCTACCCTCTCCTATGATGGTTGTTGAATTGAGATGAAGCATCAATTGAGGAGACTAATGGGTTAAATCTATGACTACATGTCTCATTTGGAGAGAAACAGAACAGCCATGTCTTCAGTGAGGGGCCCAGTCTGTTGTTTACTGATGACATGAGTATGGATGTTGTAGTCAATCAATGCTTCAGATTCAGAAGGGAGATATCTGCCCAGATCTGAGGATGCCTTGTGTGCTGTGCGTAAGGTGACCACACCCACTACTTTCAGAGTTCAATCGTTAGGTTCCTTTGATGATGGGTGCAGAGTTCCAGGTCCACCTCAGAAAAAAAGGAAATATTTCCAAACTCCCAGACAGTAACTGTCAAAGAGAGGCTCTGATAAACCTACCAGGAGGAGTGCAAGCATCCGCAGGAGACTGGACAAATGTGGACCGTCTTTTGGTGGGCATGGGCAGAGCCATTTTCTGTTCTTTGTGTTTTGCCAGCGCAGCCTGAACAGCTTCTGTATGGATATCTGAAAAGTCAAACACAGATTTATTTGCACTTGTGCTAGATGGTAACCTCGGAGGGATGAACTATTGGTACTTACGTTGTTCAAAACCCCAAGGGGGAGCAGGTTTAGGTAGCTTTGTTTATCTTTTGATTCAGATCAATTAAGACAAAAACCAAAGAGATAGAGACAAAAGAAGTCAAGGACAATTACACAGAGAACAGTGAGGACTGTGGGACACACAGCGAAGGACTGACTAGAGGTGGTGGAAGTCTAGCAAGCATCCGTGCCCAGAGGGAGCCTCACCTCTAAGTGAATCAGAATTAATTCTAAGGAAAACATTAATGTGCCCTAAACTGAAAATGTTGAATTAGAGTATCTGCAAAAAAAGGATATGTTGAGCTGTCGTCAGAAGGAACTTGGTTGACCCTGTGTGGGTCTGTGCCGCAGAAACAGAGGGGATGATTCTAGTCTACAAAGTCACCGGGCACATGTTACTCATTTGCCAGCCTGCACACAGTTCTGGCCTCTTGCACATGTCATAGAAACCTCAAAATTAACATATTCCAAACAGAACTCTCACTTCTCCACCCCACTACAAGAAAGCCTGGATCACTCTGTGTACAGCATGATGTACTCTGCTACTGCTTTTTGTTTGTTTGGATTTTTTTCTTAATTTTTTGAGACAGGGTTTCTCTGTGAGCTTTGGAGCCTATCCGGGCTCTCGCTCTGGAGACCAGGCTGGCCTCGAACTCACAGAGATCTGCCTGCCTCTGCCTCCCAAGTGCTGGGATTAAAGGCGTGTGCCACCAATGCCCAGCGGGCTTTGAAGTTTAAAAGCCCACTTAATTCCCAGTTAGCTCTCTGCCTTGTGATTTTTATCTCGGGATGTGAGCTCTCTGCTTCCGTTCTAATCCCATGGTGGGGGGCAGACTCACACCCTGAAACTGCAAGTCCTAATAAATGTTTTCGTTTACAAGTTCCCTTGGTCATGGCGTCTCATCACAGTGACATAATAGTCACTAAGATAGTACTGGTGGCCAGGTGCTCATGAAGAAGTCAGAGCCTGTTCATTCCTTCCACTATGTGAGTCTCAGGAAGGGAACTCAAGTTATCAAGCTTGACAGCAAGTGCCTTTACCCACTGAGTTAAAATAAACACTCATGTCATTTGATCATTTCCCCACCGACTTTTGGCTTTATTTTCCCTAACTTTTCTTCATATGCTAGGGATATACAAATTGCCAAGAGGTAAATTTATACTGTTTTCCCACTATCATAAAAATTTTTATGTTGCCTTTTATTGTATCATTAAGTCTTATGATAGAAGAGTCCCTGGTTTCCTTTGGTATGTGTATCCTTGTATGGTTCAGAGCTCTAAACCAGAGAGGTGAAGTAGGAGACAGGGTGTGCTCCAGAGCATCTCCCAGCTGTGTGAGCATCAGTATTTCAATAGTACAGGTGTGCTCTGGTGATCTGCAATACTAGCTATATACCACACAGTAAAGATCCTCAGAAATACACTGGTCTACAGCTGAACTTGCTATTCTACCCCAATAGTATTCCCACAGGCCTAGGTGCCATACAAACTGTTGTAATTATGAGATCACCATAACATAGTTAATATCTAGCTATTGCTTACACTTCTCTGTGTTTGCTAAGCCATTCTTCATTTTTCCAAACAAACCTCAAAAGTAAGTTCTCTGGCTTTGCAAATCCTCTGATAACCCAGTTCTATGTACCAAGAGGAGCAGAAAAGACAGAATTTAAAGCCTATATTCCACATTATCTGCTTTGATAAGTCCTTTTTCTTTCGCATAAACAGCTATTTATACTTCAGAAGGCTTGGGCAGCACCAGCATGAAGCCTATCCTCAGCAGCATGTGCTTCCCCGCCTCTCTTTCAGATGCTGCCTTTGTACCCTGGGCTGTGTGAAGGACTCTTGTGTTTTCATCTATGTTTCCTCAGAATGCCATGCTGTGCTCAAACCACAAGAAGTGCTCTGTCACTACAGGTCCACATCTTCTGTCGTCTGGAGTGTATTAATACAGAAGGACTGACCCAGAGCACTTGTACCAGCTACCTCATACAAACAGAGAACAGATCTGGACAAAGACAAGAGGAGGTCTCGTCTAGATGACAGAGGGAGGTACTGCTTCATTTCCCCAACATGAAATCAGAAGGATCCAGGCTGATAGTGAGAATTTGTAGTAAGATATGAAGTGATTCACTTGGACTGACACAGCCGAGTTTGCTGTCCTGCTTACAATTAACCAAAGGAAAATTTTATGGGTCATTTTGTCAACAATGAGAAAAATGAGCAGTGGGAATTGCTCAGTGGCCAAGCACTTGTCTAATATGTGTGAGGCCCTAGTCCAATCCTAGTTCAATCTCTAGAATCACCAGAAAGGAAAAAATAAGTAATTATATGTTACAAAAACAGTCTAAACACATGCAACACAAGAAGTAATTATATGTTACAAAAACAACCTAAACACATACAACACTGAGTAAGAACTTTGCAAGATACAGCAGCTCAACAGTCAGGTACGTTTTTCTCTCAAGTTTCTGTACCTATGAATATTAAGTAATGTTCAGTCTCTTGCATGCTGAGACTATAGGTGTACACCAACCACCATGTCCAATTTGGGTTATTACTTTTAAAAGCACAGTACCAACTTACTTTGAGTTCTGAGATGATATAATTTTGTGTGGCATTTATATTTATCATATTATTTTAGTGTTCCCTAAGTTTATCCAAATCAAGATTACCATCTTATTGAAATTTTGACACTATCTTATAAAACAGACATAGTAAAATGTTCTTGAAAGGGCCCTTAAATTAGAAGAAGTATAGTTCATCACTCTCTTGGAAAATAAATAACCAATTACAATGCAATAAAGTACTTTTTCAATGACAGGACAGAAGCAAAGTAAATGCTCTCACTTGGTTCTTTATCTCCCAAAGTATTTTTACGTGTGATAGGAAATATGAGAGCAAAGCTGCCAAAGCCAGGCATCAGCCCTGCTGATATGCCTTTAGGAGGCTTAAACTATCTGCATCACTAAGAACCACACAGTAGGAGTCACAGCATCAGGTCCAAGAACACCAGGCCACCCAACTGTTCTATGTGAAAACTCTGGCACAGACACTGGTGTCAAAGGAGACAGACCCAGTTGCTCTAGCCAAGATTCCTACTGATCAGAATATAACAGCCCTTCTAACAGAATGTGATGGGTTCAACAGTGCAGGATTCATCTTGATCTCTGATAAGGAAATAACTTCTGAAATTCAGTCCCTGGACAAAGCTGACTTTGGATTTCTCTGCCAGAAGCCATGGAAGCTGAGTATCGTTTTCCAGTTTAACAGGGTGATGCTAATCTACGCTGAATGTCCTTTCTCATTTTATTGTTTTATTTGGGGTGGCTAATTTCTCAAAAGATCTACATCAAGGGTGCTGTTTGATGGACTTCCTTTCCACTGTAAGCATTAACTGCATGTTTTCTGCACCTGGGAACAAACCATACGTGTAGAAAGCTGCACCACTCCTAACGGTCAGAAGGAAGAGGTACTAACTAGACCAGCAGCATGTTTAAGGTCCTTTGGCTGAGCACCAAGAGCAGGTCACGGATCCAAACTCCTAAAAGCAGGGGCTGGAGAGATGGTTTACCAGATAAGAGCAACGGCTGCTCTTCCAGGAGATCTAGGTTCCATTTCCAGCACCCACATATCAACTTACAAAAGTCTGTAACTCCAGTTCCAAAGGATCCAATACCCTCTTCTAACCTCCATGGACAATAGGCATACAAATGATGAACAGACTATATGCAGGCAAAACATCCCCACACATAAAATAAATACTCTGAAAACATAAGCTCTTACAATTATATCTGAAACATTAAGTGCAAAGGCTATTTAGAGTTAACTATGACCGCTTGGAATGTCACAGGTACCAATCAGCCTGTGCTAAATAAGAACTTTTTCCAGTCACACTTAACAACATTAAATTACCAAGCCTTTCTATGCACCCACCACTTTACTCTGAACTGCAAGTTTTGCTAAACATCCATTATGCTTTTGAGCTAATTTGCATGTGGCATGTCATATAGCCTTCCTCATAACTGGAGAGGCAGAGCACAGAGGTAGAGGCTCTCTTCCTTCACCCATGCAGCTGTTGGTATCAGGAATGTCAGAATTCTAAGACCATTCTATCCTCCAGTGTGAGGAGAGTTTCCATGGCTATTCAGCTGAACGTCCCAGTACAGTGTTCATCTACAATCTATGCTTACCTGCCTTTTTATGTTGCACTTAGGACAATGTTACAACTCTCACAGGTTTTCATATTTTTGAAAAAAAGGCGTATTTTTAATGTTAGGGAGGTGCTTTTTAAAAGTGTTATTATTATTTATTTTATGTATATGGGTGTTTTGCTGTGTGGGGGGGTAGTGTGGGGGAGGGTGAGTGGGTGTGGGTGTCCTGCGCACTCACGAGACAACCTGCAGCCCTTGAGTTCTAGGGTTTAGGATTCTGTGCTGTCACCACCTTGAGCCGACAGTCGTGGTGCTGCGAGCCTTAACTAGTCAAGTGGCAGCAGAACCTGGGCAGCTGGCGGTAGTGTTTTACGAACTTCCATGTAAAACTTCACAAAAGCTTAAAAGGGGACTTTGGAAGCAAAAGAACAGAGACAAGCACTACTTCTTGGTAGTACCATTTTCTCAGGTGGTCTCTGTTTTGCTAGAGAAAAGCAGAGACCTAAACGGTTCCTTTAAGAGAGGTTTCCTGACTCAGCCCTGAGGGGATGGGGAGTGAGGGGTGGACACAGGGCTCTTTTTAAGAGGCCCAGCTAGCTCAGTCAGTAGAGCATAAGACTCTAAGACTCTTAATCTCAGGGTTGTGGGTTCATGCCCCACACAGCTGGCAGAGGCAATGACCACATCTCCAAGCTAGCAGCATGCCCCTTGGTGGCAGCATAGACCAAGGCAGTGAGCACAGTTCTTAGAGCTGATGGTAAACGTGCCTCTGCCATCTTGGAAAGACAGTGGCTAAGAAAGCCGCCAATTTTAGCAGTGTTGTTTAACAGTTAAAAGACTGCGTGGCCAGAAAAAGGCAAAGATTTGCAATAAAGACAAATTCAGATGAAGAAAAACTTCTAAAGGTTAACAGTGTGTTTAAAAATATATGTAGGCTTGTGAGAGAAAAAGAAACAGGAGGAAATAGAGTGGCTGGGTGTGGTGGCACACGCCTTTAATCACAGTACTCCAGAAGCAGAGGCAGGCGGATTTCTACAGAGAAACCCTGTCTCAGGAAAAAAGAAACAAAAGAAAGTAAAAGAAATAGAATAATAAAAAAGCCATGTAAAGATGGAAAATACTCAGAGAGTCTGGATACTATATGCTATATTGATGTCTTTAAATTGTTTGACTGCCGAGGAAAGAGTTACAGCTGCTACAATACATTTGATTATAAGTGCTGTTGAATTAATCCAACTTATATATTTTAGAAATGCTTTGACTTCTAAGTTTAAATTAAGGACAGGCTACTTGGGGAAAGATTTCTTGCTTATGTTTCCACAGAAAATGAAAAGCTATGGATTCCTTCCAGACTAATATGCTTTGATGAAGCAAAACCCCCTAAACTGATCCAACACACAAAACAGCTGAGATGACATAGACCACTACAGCCAGGATTTCTGTGATTTGTCATGATCCCTATGGTACAGACATTGCCCCCAACCAGCAGGAAACAGTTTGGAATGAACGACACCCAAATTCCCAAATATTGTTTATAAATGTTTGGTTATAAATGGTAATGAAAACACTTCTTTTAGACAGAAAAGAGGAGATGATGGGGGAGGTCTTTCTGTGTATATATTTGTCTTATTGGTTGATAAGTAAAGTACTGTTGGCCAATAGGAAAGCAAAATAGGTGGGACCAAGAGTCAAGGAGGATTATGGGAAATGTAGTAAAGAGATCCAGGCAGGAAGTGACATAGCAGGCAAACTCATATATGTATGTATGTATGTATGTATGTATGCATGCATGCATGCATGTATCTATGTATGTATACAGAGAGGTATGTATGTATACAGAGAGGGGGGGCAGGGACAAACAGGAAGTCACTCTCTTGTTCTTCCTCTTCCTCCTGCTCTCTGCCCTGGAGCCACCATGTAAGCCAGACAAGAGAGGCCTCATTCGGCCGCCGGTGTCCTCCATAAGATAAGTCTTATGATTATGGTTGATAATTAAGACTGAGCTAGCAGATAAGAAATCCCAGTCAATTGGCCAGCAGCTTTGTAAACTAATATAAGACTCTGTGTGTTATTCTGGGCGCCCACGTGGCGGTGGCGGAACTCGGGCGGCTTGGCAGAAAGACATTGTTACAGAGGGGACTCAGGCATCTAAGGCCAGCCTGGGCCACAATTCAGTAGCAAAACAAGCAATCCTACTTTACTTCCTTTGTTAACCCAAAGTACCTCTTTAGCATTGGAAGACATCAGTGTACAGCAAGCAGTGTGCACTGGAGTGAGCTACCAGAGCAAACAGAAATCGGAGTAGATTTCCGCTGTGCTAAAACTCTTAGTACACTTGAGAATGCTCAAGATTTGACCTCTGGAAACCTTCCCTAGCCTGTCTTCACTCCCTGCTGGCCCCTGCACTCTAAGTTCCAGCTAAAATGAACTACTTTGGGGCCTACTATCCAGTGCCATTTCCCTAACTAATTCTTGACTCTCTGCCATGACTCCACTGTTATCTGTCCCTCAGGATAAGGTAAGCTTCACGGGAAACTGGTGTGGTGTACCATTCCTTTGTGGTGGGCACTCATTATCTCTCATGCTCATCACCCCGTATGTGAAATTACATGTCTGTAAAAATCTACTCACAGAATGGATTGGTTAGCTCTGTGACCATGCCCTTTTAAGTGCTGTTTTTGAGAGGATATTTTTCAACTCAAGAAAAGATCATGGTAACTTTAGCTGTTAAAAGGGAGAGAAAATCTAGAGGAAGCAAAATAATATTACCATTAAATTTTTTTAGCCTAGTTCTGTTACCTAAATCATAGGATGTGCAGCACAGTGGACCGTAAACGGGCATCACAATGGCTTGCTCTATGATTTGTTTCTCTGCCCACCAGCTGTCCCACTGCCAAGGACAGCACTATGTCCTTTCTCTTGCCAGCAACACCTTCTGGGTTACAAGACACCAAGCTGATGAGCTCACTATGTGAAGTTCCACTGTGTTTTGTTCAGGTCTATGAGCCATGGGACTATTCAGCAACTCTGCAAGCATAGACAAAATGACCTCCTCTGCCCATGGGACCTAACTCCCACCTTCTTTTTACTTATTTATTCACAATGATGTTGCACTTGTCTGGCTCGTTTTCTGAAACTGAAATTCCTTGAAGGCAGAAATGGTCTCATTTGCTGTTGTCTGGTCAGGAAACAGCTGACACTAGATACACTGTTGAATGAATGAACACAACCTTCTGGCTCAACAGAAAGCAGCACATCAATGCTCAGAACACAGTTCACACTGCTCAGGACACAGTTCATACTGCCCCGGACACACAGTTCACGTTTCCCAGGACAAATAGGTCACACTGCTCAGGTCACAGTTCACACTGCCCAAGACATACAGTTCACACTGCTTGGGCCATACAGTTCACACCGCTAAGAACACAGTTCATAGAGCTCAAGACACACAGTTCACACTACAGACAGGAAAACTTCTGCAATTCCTTCTTACCCGATCGGTATCGCTCATCTCTAGCCCCTCCAGATCGAGTTCGGTGGTACTTGGAAGGAGCAGAAGTCTGAGCTGCAGTGGGAGCAGGAGTCTGGTTTTTGTCTTTTTGTCCTGTTGAATCAGTTTCTAAAAAAGGAAGTTTGGAAGACGGTTATTCAATGGCAACAGTGGGAAGTTAGTGTGTTCTGAGTGCTTGCTCATTCTTGCCACAGCTGAAGGTAGTTATCCTCCATCTATAGTAAAGGATTAAAGGTTACGGCAGGCACATAAATTCAATGTGAAGGCCTCAAGCTAAAAAAATTACCTTATAGCTGTAACCATCAATGGTCTAATAGGAAAGAAATAACTAGACAATAAATGTTGTGTAAAAGTCATCCCTAAGACTGTCCCATAAAATGGCTAAATAAAACTTCCAACAAGGTCATGGTTTTTGCCACTTGGTTTGAGTTTTCTGCAGTGCTGAGGGTCAAACTCAGGTCTCACATGAGCTAGGTACATATAGCAAAATAAATAAAAGACCCAGAGACTGATATTGGTATTCAAGCTTCAAGCTGAAGATCAGAAAAGCAAACCAGCTGGCCACTAGCTCTTACCTCTACCTATGCTCAGACCAAAGGGAGGATCCCCAGATTGCTCCCAACTTCACAGCTCCTCAGATTGACTCTGACTGCTATGCTGTCCTCAAAGTGGCTAGAGACTCCTGGGACTGACTTCTGAAGATCCTGCTGCTATCTTTTATATCTCCCTAGTGCTATGATTAAAGATCTGTTTCTCTTAGCACTGGATCAATTTTGTGTAGTCAGTGTGGCCTTGAACTAACCAAGATCTGTCTACCTTTTAATCCTGAGTCGTGGGATTAAAGATGTATGCCTGTTTCTATGGCTTGTGGCTAACTTTGCTTTCTGAATCCTCAGGCAAGCTTTAATAAAACATAAATAATATCTCACCACAGGTATGGCCCCAACACTGAGCTAGATTATCTTTTAATACACTGTATTTGAGAGCACAATGAGGGATGTGTTTTAGGATGCTCTCCATCTGTGTTCATCCACAGATCTAGAGCTGTTCTTTACTGGTTCCTATTGCTAGAATTTTCACTGAAAGTTCATTAACTGAACATAGCATGACACAGATGGAGATTTTAAACCTGTCATGTCTAACACAATATGAGTGTTCCATGACACACTACTAAGCAGGTAATAACAGGACAACTGTCAGTCCAGTTCAGGTGAGCTGCAGCCCCACTCCAGCTCACTCTGGTCTCCCTGTCTGACTCCCAGCTGTCCCCTTCTACTTCCTTTAACATCTCATGCAGACACAGACTTTCTAAATGTTTTGAGTTTATAAACAAGACTTTAATCAACCTAGATTTTCAATAGTACACTTCAAATAAGAGCTACATAGAATTCTTACTATATTCTCCACATCTTCTTCTTTTGTTACCTTTATTAGTCTTGGACAACGGTCTATTATGGCCCATCTCCTAGATTTTTTTTTTTTCATTTTGAGAAAAGGCTTTATGTAGCCCAGGCTTGCCTAGAATCTGGAGTCCTCTTGTCTCAGCATCATCAGTGTGGAGATTACAAGTGTGTACCACCAAACCAAGCTACACGGACTTTTCTTTTCTTTTACTTTTTGAGACATGGTCCCATATCTTCCTGGCCAGCTGGGAATCTGCTATGCAGGGGAAGGTAGCCTTGAACTCCTGATCCTCCTGAGTGCTAGTATTATAAGTGTGCCACAATGCTGACTTACAGTCTGTTTTTTACAAACAAATTTATTGAGACATAGCCAGAAACAGTCATGTACAGTGTCTGTGGCTGTGTCCACACTGTCCAGGCATAGCTAAGTGGCTATGACAGAGACTATGGGATCTTTAAAGTCTAAAATACCATCCAGCCCTTCAAAGAAAGCCTTTACCAATCTACAATAATCAACATTTACATGTATGCTTGTGCCTGGAAGTAGTTTCATCTTATTTTTCAATCTGCACAATAAGCCTGAGAAGTCAGTCCCTTTAACAGGGAAAGGGGACATGGGCTGGGAGTTACAGAGCCAGAGCACAGACCCTGGCTTGTCTACCTCTGCTGGTCCTCAACAAAAGGCTCCAAAAAGAGCCACCAGGAAACCTCCCAGGACTTTTAAAAAGCAAAGTGATGGGAATTAATGACTTCAGCTGGGAGCATCAATGCTTTGGGATTTAGAGTCAACAGTTAGGTAAAGATAAGCATCCCACCAATCGGCCAACAGACTAAAACTCCACAGACCCACACCACTGCCCACCATGGAAAAGATTCTGCAAAAAGCCACTTATTAGAGAAAATACTTGAAATACAGTCCAACCAACTTTAAATAGAGAATGAAAAATAGAAAGGAGCTATTTTTACTTCTACAGTCAGATGATATATACAGGAAGGAAATCACATTAGCACACATAAGCTACTCTGTAAATATGCGCAGGGAAAATGGTTTGAGGTGGCCCACTGATCCTCAAACATGTTCCTGCTGGTCTGGAGGATTTTTGTGTTTGAGTAGGTTTTTTGTTTGTTTTGTTTTGTGTGTGTGGAGAATCCATATAAAACTACAGTTGTTGTTATCTACCACTGCTTATTTTACAACATAACAAATCACTCTAAGAAACATGGTGTTTCCAAATTGTATAGTTAATAATTCAAATGTTTAAAAGAATGAATGTAATTCTTACTTAAAAGGAGAGACACAAAGATTTCAGTACTTTTACTATCTTCCTTAGGCATGCTTCTGCTGTATATTTTTCAATGTAACTAATTAAAATAGAGAAATATAAAGCATACATTTCCACTCAGGAGCAGCTACAGGTTATCACAGGTCAAGCAAGGGCATATAACTCAGAGCAAGTCTTCTAATGAAAATGGGGTCAGTTAACACCCAGCCAGGAGCACAGTGGAATGGACGCCGAAAACAAAGCCCACACAGATCTTTACCAAATAACCAAGTAATGGGAACTCTGTGGCGTTTGTCTCTGTCCCCTCGGGAATCCATTCATCTAAGTCAACCCATTTTCTCTAGGGTCTAAAACCACGACAATCATTTTGTTATAATTTGTCAGAAATAAACCCAAAAGTTCTATTTACAGTTTCTATAAGTATGCCCAACACATAATGCCATAGAAACATGGATTTATGGTAGAATAAACTTGGCTCAATTGTGTAACATATCTGCTTCAACTTGACAAGAGGCTGTCTTGAAAGGATGTAAAAGCAGCTAGGCAAGTTGGCCCACACCCATTGTTTCAGCATTCAGGAGGCTGAGGCAGGAGGACTGCTGTGAGTTTGAGATCACCCCGGGCTACACAGCAAGATCTGTCTCAAAGACAACAAACAACGACAGCAAGATGGCTCTGTGGCCAAAGGTGCTGCCACCAAGCCTCACAACCTCACAACCAGAGCTCAATCCTCAAGATTCACACAGCAGAGGAGAGAACTGACTCTTGCAAGTTGTCCTCTCACCTTCACATACTCCATGGTACAGACAAGTAGGGATGCACAGACATACACACACTGAATGAATGAATGAATGAATGAATGAATGAATGAATGAATGAACGAACAAACAAACAAACTAACAAGTAAATACAAAAAGAAGTTGTAAAATAAAAACAAAGAGGCCCAGGAAGCACTGAGTCCAGTGGGGGATGTAACAGCTGGGTAACTCATCTTCCTGAAATTGAAACAATCACCCACTATGAACTTTATCAACTTTTTGTTTTGTTTTCTTTTCGAGACAGGGTTTCTCTGTGTAGCTTTGGAGCCTGTGCTGGAACTTGCTTTGTAAACCAGGTTAGTCTCCAACTAACAGACATCCGCCTGCTTCTGCCTCCCAAGTGCTGGGATTAAAGGTGTGTGCCACTACCACCCAGAGAACGTTGTTAACTTTTATTTCTAGCCACTGCTTTGAGACAGGCTGGCTCCAGAGAGAGAGAGCTGTGTACAACCATGTGCAGCTAAAGTGCTTTTCCTGAACATAAAACCAGATGTTCATTATAGAACTTTTAGGGAATAACTAAGTATAAGGAAGAAAATAAAAGTGATATTGATTCTCTTAAACTAAAAGTTAGGACCTATTAAAATATAACAATATTCAGATTTCCTGTTCCTGGATAAAAAGTGAATCTTTGATCAGAATTATCCAACACTAAGCTTAGTTGTTGCTCTTTCCCTGTAGGAACTAGCAGTGAGTGTGTACTTGGGAGAAGGCAGAGCAATGCCCTGGGAAGCTAACAAGAAGCTGGAGTGTTGGTGCACCCTACTTGCTAGTCTATGGATGGAAGGAGGTGTCTGAGGGCATGGGAGGGCAGGACACTGACCCCATCCAATCAGATCTCAGCAATTACTTGGGGAGCTACAGTACAAAGTTTCTGTGTTTCAGATAATTGTGTAATTTTATTACCACGGTAAGGAAAAGTTAAAAGCAAAGGTGGAATTCACTATATGCTGCAATATAACCAGATAATCTACGAATTAAAATGAAAAAATTCAGACCCTCCAGTCCAAAAAATTTACTTTATATATTATATATAAGGATTAGATGGGACTTACAAGTCCCCAATGTAATGGAATGAAGCACTGATAAAGTAGATTCACCAGAATTCTTTACCCCCACTGTTTAATTTATAGAAACAAAGACATTTATAAAATCGAAGCAATTTGAAAGGCATTATGGTGTACATAAATGCTGGAACAGGAGCCTCACGAATGAAGTCTTTAATCCTAATGTGAATTTAGCAGAGATCATCACACGGTTACTCTTCAGCTGTTTAAGGCAACTGTGCAGAGTGTCCACTAGGGGTCACCATTACGTTTAAATGGTGAAGGAAGGTTGGTTAGTGGTTTTGTTGTTTTGTTTTGAAAACACGTTTTAAATTCTTGAAAGCATCCCTTTTCAACAGTCAACATTTACATAATTTATCACTCTTTCCAGAAAGGTGGTGTGCCTTCTAGGTGTCTGCTATTTGAGCACAGTGACAGTGACAGCACAGACAGGAACAGGTATTTACAGTAGAAAACAAACAGCACACAGCTTTCCCACCTAGGAAAATTGGAGAAAGCCAATTCGGTCCTTACCCTCTGGCTCTGCCTATGATTTCA